AATTCTTGTCTCAAATTTTTTTTTTTTAATTTACTTCTAAAACTAATGTTTAAGAATGAAAATATTACGTTAATACATGATATAAAAAATATATTATTATTTTTAAAAAAATTGTGTCAAAAATGTGAGTCATATATTATGTGATTGTTAATATGTCATTTTCTATTTAATTTTAGACAAATTAGCTTTGGAGAAATTCAAGAACCAATGTAACAAAATAACCAAATATGAAAAGGAAAAAGTTATATTTTATCCTAATAATTATTTAGTAGTCCCGGAATATGGATTCGTGCTACTCTATGATATTGTAATTAGTGAACTCTATGGTATTGTAATTAGTGGAGAAAATGGATAAGTGAGATATTGTGTTAAATGATTGAAGAATATGAGAGAGCATCATGAATAATAATTGATTAAGGAGCACGGACAAGTGATATTCAAAATATTTTATAATTTTCCATTTTATCCATATTATATTTTTCTGCAATCGCCCATCATTTATTGTCAATTAAATTTATTTATTTATTTATTTTTAAAAAAAGTAAGCGTTTATGTAAGGCTCGGTAACATGGGCCAGGCCAATCCTAAAATTTTAGGTGTAGGCCCAGCACAGGCCCATGGGCTTTGATTGGTCAATGGTCAAATTTGCCCTAATTAAGGTTTTAATCCAAACTTTAATAGTTCAAAATTCATTATAAAACAAAAAAGAAAATCATTATAATACAAAATTTAAAGTGCATCGCGATAATTACAATCTCATATTGAATAAAATAAAATAAAATAAAAATGAACTTTATTTATAGAAATACATAATTATAATTCATTATGATTTTTAAATTGTATGCATTATTAATCTTGTAAAAATATAGTTAAATCTCTAGAAAATATAAATTACAAGCCTCACAGTGAATGTGCTATTCATTAGGTTTGTGCTTCAATCATAAATTTAGACAAGAAAATCGATGATCAAAACACAGTCTTGATTTTTCAATTTTAATATTGTTATACTAAAAATGCATACGTAAAGTAAATAAATAAATAAATAGAGAGCGAAAATAGTATCCATTATTTAATGTATATGGGCTTGATTTGCTGTATTGGGATGGACATATGGTTGAGCTTCAAAAAGACCATCAACTGAGAAAAGCCAAAATACCACAACTCAATGACTGAATTTTTACTTGTAAATTTTTACTTGTAATTTGAACTCATAAAAGCATAATAAACGGTGTTTGTTGAAACTATTATTCCATAAATAATCTTTTTCAGCATCCAACAACAGCATAACAATGCCTTAAAAAACCACTCTTCCAATGAGGGATTTACTTTATAAATGATCCAAATATTAAAAAAAACTCCACAGGTAACTATGTACCAATGAATAAGATTAATACTAGCTTATAATAATGATAATGACAATAATAATAATAATATTATTATTATTACAGAATTATTAACTGGGTATTGTAGGGCACCTCTTGAGCAAGTCTCTTATGCACTTGCTCTCTTTCAATTGCAGTTGGTAAGCTGGACTCCATCCATTTACTATCCCCTTCATACAATTGTCCTTTGCGAATGATCTTCATCTTCTGAAGAACCACCATATTTCTGAGCAAATATATAGCAAGCTTAACTTCATCTTCAGCACCATGGAAATTGAATATCTCCACTTCCTCAAGCTGCTCGTGCTGAAATGATTCTGATTCTGATTTTGATTTTTCTAGGGATATCTTTTCCCGCCCTCTGTAAGATTTATAGGGTAGCTGCAAAGGAGAAAGAATAACACAAAATACTCTTTAACAATGAACAACACGAAATGAAACATACTAGCTAAACATGACATGATATGAGAACAGAATTATCAAAATAAAAAATAAAAAACCCTTTACATGCAGCTGAAGTTTACGCAGGAAAGGAGATGCCTTCACAAGCGAGGAGGTAATTTCCAAGACACTCGTTGGGGATGGTTTAACGACCATTAGCACCAATTCCTTAAGTTTAGTGAACGTGGGTAGCTGTTTGGGAATCATATCACCCTGAAAAAAAAATGTTAATCCCAATATGACTAGGAAACTATAAAGAACAGTTTGATTTAACATACCTCAACGCGTGCAAAACCCAAAAACAAGCTCTCAAGTTGAGGGAAATCTGTAGCAAATCTACCAAAGGCATAGTTTATACCGGCTAATGTATTCCACACAGGAAAAAAGCATACCCTCACAGGCTGCAAGCTATTCTTGAACAAAAGCTGTCTTAAGACATCTCCTCTACATTCAAATGATGCAAGATCTATAGCATTATATATTTCAACCACCTCTAAACCACGACAAAATGTTAAATTTAAGTGCTTCAGCTTCAGATACTTGTCTCCATTAGCAATTTTCAAACGAATTGGACAGTAGCATTTTGAAATGCTAAACTGTTCAAGGCACAAACAATTGGACAACATGTTTTGTATATTTTCTTCACTCACGCGTGTATTTTTTACACACAGTGAAACAAGGGAGCTGAAGCTTCTAAAATTTTGTGGAAGGCTCAGACTGCACGAATTTAAAGACAAACATTTCAAGGAAGATCTTCTTCCTCCTTGAGCAAAGAACCAGTAAGGAAATTCATAGAGGGTATAATCCTGGTGCAACAGATGGCATGTAGTCAACTTGATATGAAGCTCTTCAACGTCTTTAGCTGCAACAAACTGAACCCATTGATCAATGTCCTGACCATACTCTCCACCCAATGGATAAACAACTCTGCATGACACTATCTTTTCACCGGCATGATGTTTCAAAACTTGGTTAATCCATGTCACAAATCTACCCTTGTCATGCTGTTGCAAGATGGTGTCTCCAGTCATGTTTGTAATATCAAAATTCAGTTTCAACAAACTCCTCCAGAGGAATCTCCATCTCCTTGAAAGGACACTGGTCCTCGCAGCCTCTCTCAATGTCAACAAGGACACAATTGAACAAAGAATTTCCTCTGGCAATTGACTGATGGAATCGCCAACCTCAGTGTTGCAATCCTACATTAATATCAAACAATTAATTATGAATATATCTTGATTGTCAAATTTGCATAGTGACAATGTTTTGGTGCGGGTGATTGTTTGAAGGGGGACTGGGGTTAGGTGTACAAAGGCCTGTTTGGTGCCTGCTTCCTTCAAGCTAAAAGCTAATAATTAGAAAACAAATTCTAAAAGTATCATTTTTCTTACTTCTCAATAATCAGCTTTATTTAAGCTTATATTTGCCTATCAAGTTGTAAGCAGAATTTGCACCAAAGACTCTACACCAAACAGCACAAAATTCAGCTAGTCCACAATTTTAAAAGTTTACACCATCCTTACAAATACTAACCTATACTAATGTTTCTTGGCCAACAAGGAATTATCCATACATACTTGTTGCGTTAGTGTTTGTCTACGCACCCAATTTGGGATTATTCAACTTCAAAAGGATTTGAGAACTAAGTAGTTTGCAACTGTAGAATTTTGAAAAATGAAATACCTTCAATGAAGATCCTGAGACATATCTTATCCGTCCATTCATTAGCTGCTTGTGCAATTTTTTCGCTCTCTTTGATTTACCCATTATGAGCTACCACCAATCTGATACAGGCTTTTTCTCTCGTCCACCTTTTAATTCAAAAACATAGAGCTGTTAAGAAGGAGAACAATATATTTTAATAAACAATTAACAAACTTTTGGGGGCCCTAAAACAGAATGTCCTGTCAGGAGGAGCTAGTTTATGGTCATGGTCGGACGAACAAGAACATAGAATGCATCTATATTATACAGAGCAAAGTGCTGCTTGCACTTAATTAAGCACAAAGAGCCACCAATTTAGGGCAAAGTTGCGATGAAATGCAAGAAACAAAACAGAGTGCATGTAAAATGCACGTAACACTAAAAGATGAGAAATAAAAGGGCAGCAAATAACAAATAGCATGTTAAAATTTTGGAGGCATTCAATTTAAAATCATTAATTGACCTTAAATTGGAGTACAAATTTAGGGAAATTCTAAGATACATCCCTTTAAAAATGATATATTATATGCATCTTTAGGTGGTGTTTGGTTTTCCTTTTGGGCTAAATAAGCACAAAAGGATAAAAAAAAAATTAAAAAATCACAAAAGGACAACATAAGGAAAAAGACAAAAAAAAAAAATACACCATTTCAAAGCCAAAAAGTCAAAAAAGCCAAACAAGAATACCAAACGACTAAAAAAGTCCCAGGTTAAAAACGTCAAAAAGTCAAAAAGCCAACTAAAAAAGTCATTGCCAAACGAAAGCTTAGTTATGTCATTTTTTTCTTTAGTTATAACATTATTTTAGTTATGATTTATGTGTTCTTTAATTATACTTTATGTTATGTTCTTAGTTATGCATTAAAAAATTACAATTATGTCATTTTTTTTTGTAATTACAAGTTACATATAAAAAATGTGTGCCATAATGTTTCCACAAATTTAATGTTATGGCGATACCGATATATGAATCAAACACAGGTGAGTCAGAAAGCCCAAATAGGGCAAGCCTCTAAAACTTTCCACACATGCAGCCCAATTATATGGGTAGGTGACAGATACTTGAGAGACCAAAGACAGACACTTGGTATGCAAAACCCACAAACAAATTAACCAGTTCTCGTATTATGTTAAAATTAAAATAAAAAATAAAAAAAAATGAAAAAGAAAAACAGAAAAATTGCATTAAGAATTTTTTGCTAACTATTACAAGAGTGGGCGATTAATGTAGAGTAGTGCAAACTAGTATAGAACCTATATAAGGAACCACAATACCAATATACATTAACAAATAATAATGAATTGAGGGGTTGAGAGTGTGTGTAACCTTCTTCACAAGCCTAGTAATGAATTCGCCCTTTTACTTCTACGTTGTTGCCTCACAATGAGAAATCGAAACCTACATGGGACTGATGGAAGGAGGGTTTAGTGGTCTAATCTTCACTAGCGTAATAATGAAACCTAATTATAATTAGCAAATCCCCAAACTATGAAGTCTTTGTAAAATAAGAGGCCAGTTCCTCTCGGACTGTCCGTCCGTGTTTGGAGTTGGATCGGGCTTATTGGGTTAGTTGATCCCAATTATTTATTTTATAAGATTATTTATATTAAAATATTTATTAAATATTAATAGACTATATGATTTTGACGATAACCTTTATATATATATATATATATAGATAGAGAGAGAGATCTTATTTTAAAAATACACAAAACTAATAAATTTTATTACTTCAATCAATAAAAATCAATTAATTAAATTTTTTTTTTTTGTAAAATTTTTAGAATATTTATCCGAACAGCAAAATATAATTTCGCTTGCTCTTGACCTTTTACTAGAGTTCTATGGATTGATTAATAGTTAAAACTACAAAAGAATTGAGTTGTTCACAAACTCAATTAGGTTCAGTTTGATTTGTTAGGTAAATCAATGAGTTTAAGCCTTAATTTTTAGGCTTGAGTTCAAATAAGTTTCACTCATTTATTTTATTTAAATTATAAAATAAATATATTATTTATATATTAAATAATTCAAAAAAATATGTATAAATAATAATAATAATAATAAATTCATTATTAAATTTCGAATTGAACTCAATCTTAACATATTAACAAATTTAGTTCAAACTCAATAACAAACGAACGGAGCTCCAACCCAGTAAAATTTGACTCAACCTAATAATAGTGAGACAGTGTGGTGGTGATGGGCTACATCAATTTGAAAGATGTTCAAATCATGCGACTTTAACGAGAGCTCTCAAGATTGATTGAGAGATTACGCAGTCTAGTAGTAGGAGAATTCAATTACTTAAATTTCAAAGAAAGTAGTAACCCAGAGAAGTTACTGATTGGCTAGGAACGCCGTGTGGTGTTTTATATGTATGGTAATTGATAGAGGAAATAGAGAATACTATTTTGTATTGGATAAAAGTAATATTAGATATTATAAAAAAAATATCATGTAACATTTTATGAAAATTATTTATTATTAAATTATACACATAATAAACTATTACATATTAATTTAAAAAAATTATAAAATATTTTATAATATTTAATAGGAGAATTTTTTTTAAGGTCCCTAATAAGAGTAATTTATAGCATAAAAGACACCAAAAATAGGAATGATGTCTCAGGTCCCTCACTAACGACAGGCGCGTTTTTAATTTTTTTTTGGATCAAAATACCCTTCACAGATCAACATAGAATGCTCAACTCGATTGCATTCCGACGACTCAATTCATTCCAAACATCCAACCATTTTCATGAGTAAGAGAACATGAGAATTAGGGTTTCACTATCATCTTCACTGTCGCCATTACGGTTTCATTATCTTCTGCCAAACTCTTTTCAATTCGTTCCTCACAAATTTCTCTGACCCGTTTTCATTGTTCATTATGGATTTAAGCAGTAGAGTAGTATTTGGATAATAAGCTGTAAAATAAATTTTTATTGTATAATTGTCCTTTCTGCCCTTATATGATATAAAAATGATTATTTTATTATTTTTTCAGTTTTAATTTTCAAAAAAAATATTTCATTAATAAAAGTTAATATAATTAATATTAATTAGTATCAATTAATATAAAAATTGATACATTTGCTAAAAATGTAATAAAGTATTATTGTCACAATTATTTTCCATTATAGATTAATTAGTATCAATTAATTGCTTAATTAGTATCAATTAATACAAAAATTATTAATTAGTATCAATTAATGGCTTAATTAGTCTCAATTAATACTAAAATTATTAATTAGTATAAATTAATATTAATATTTAATTTTTATTAGTATCAATTAATATTAATAAGCAACAATTATTATTAATTAGTATCAATTAATAATTAATTCATTACAAAAGTATACAATATTAATTTATTAATAATTAATACCAATTAATATTGATTTTTTTTAATTAATATTGATTTCTTTTCTTTTTCTTCAGAAATATACAATTTTTTATTTTTTAATTAATATAAAAATATACAATATGAATTTATTAATAATTAACACCAATTAATATTCATTTTTCAATTAATATTGATTTTTTTCTTTTTCTTCAGAAATATATAATTTTTTATTTTTTAATTATATTTGGGTATTGACGAGGGCATTTAAGTAATTTTAACCCCCCATATCAGTTGTGCACTTAAGTCAAAAATTTAAGCACCCCCTAACTAACTTTTGAGATAAGTTGAGAAATAACTTGATTTAAGCTATAAACTGATTAACTTAAGCTGCACCAAAAATAATATTTTAGCTTAAATTAAGTTAAAAGCTGAAATAAACAGCTTATAAGCTCTACCAAACAGGCTAATTGAATGGTCTCGTAAATGGTAAAGGGTGGTTTGAAACATGAAACTTGTTTTTGGTAGATTTTTTTAAATATGATTTGAAAATAGAGTTGTATTTTTAGTTTGTGAGTTTTAAAATTATGATATGCGTGTAAAAATTTGTTTGGTGAATGAGTTTTGAATTGAGTGGAAAATTTTTAATGTGACATATGATATTTGACACAAAAATTTATAACTTATAACCAAACACACAACTCAAAATTCTATTAAAGCTCATAATTTTTTTTTAAAAATTCAAAAAATATTTTTTATTGAATATATAAAAATTAACATGTATCAATTGTAAAAATAAAATAAAATAAAATAAAAATTTGCACTGTCCCGGCCGAACGACCGGTGGGACGATTGATTAGCCCAAATTTTCCCACCTTCCCCCGCGTTTTCAAAAGTGAGTGGAATTAATTTTTAAAAATGGAAAACAAACACCATGTTTAAATCAAGCTCTGGAACTAACGTTCCAGAACTCTACCAAACAAAGCCTGAAGCTTGAGGCCTCAAATGCCTCTAATCTTCCCCCTTTTTTTTTTTGCTGGGGATCACACTCCCCGTCCCCGATCCCCGATAGCAAAAAATTTCCCGTCCTCGACCTCGATCCCCATTCCCTGGCCAAAAAAAAAAACAAAAAACAAAACAGAAACAACAACATTAACAAAATCATCAACACAGATCATCATCAACAAATCTCAGATCAACAAAATCATTAACAAATCATCAACAACAGATCTCAGATCTGTGTATCTGAGTGTGTCACAAAGAAAGAGAAAGGACGACGAAGGCAATGGTTTGGTGACTGCAACGAATGACGGAGGAGATCGGTGGCGATGGATGACAGAAGAGGTGAAACGGCGGTGCGACGTGAAGCAACGGTGTGACGTAAATAGAGGTGGAGAAGAGGCGCAAGAGTGAAGCGGCGGTGCGAGCTGGACGACGACTCCGGTGTCGTGGACAGTGGCGGTGGCGTCGCTGAGGATGAGGAGATGTGCGAAGTAAGAGAGAGTAGAAGGAAGAGAGAGAAAGACAGAGGAGGAATTATATTAGAATGAAGAGAGAGAGAGGGGAGAGACAGGATATATATATGAATGAAGGATAGAGGGGGTATAATAGTAATTTTACTTCGAGGGGAAACGAGGACGGGGATAGGGATGAGCAAGGGCTGGAAAATGTATCCCCGTCCCCGGCTTGAAATTCATCGGGGATTTATTTTTGAATACCATCCCCGGCCCGTCAGGGGTATTTTTCGAGAAAAAACCGCTTTAA